GCAGAAGACGCGGGGATGGCAAGGGAGGCAGTGAAGGTGGGAAGCTGTGGTACCGCACACCCCTCAAAAAGACGAGGAGGAGGTGCTGAGGAGGCAGAGGCAACTGCGAGGAGGTTACTCTCGATCTTCGAGAGAGCGGTCTCAAGAAGATCGATGGTAAGCTCAGTGGGATGCTTCAGAAGAAGCACGTCCTGGGCTGTGGCTAGGCGGTCAGGGAGGCGAGTGACTAGCCAGTGAATGGTGAGCCACATAGGGGGCGGGGCAAGGGCAAGCTGGTCCTCAGTGCAAGCAGCACGAAAGCGAGTGTCAAGGGAGCGCAGGTGGGCAGTGAGGTCAGAGACAGTCTCAAAGGAGGCGAGGTCAGGGTAGATAAAGGGGACGAGGAGGCGACTGAGTGAGGCAGAGGAGGGAGTGGAGTAGCGAGCAACAATAGCCTTATACAGATCTGCAGCGGACTCGACCTGAGTGAAGTGGACTGCCTCGGTCGGTGGGAGAAGGTCGGTCAGGGCGAGGCAGGCAGCGGCGTCACGAGACTCCCACACGTCGCGAGCAAGAAACTGGCGCTGGTACTCGGCCTCCTGCTCAGGAGTAGGCGACGGGGTGGTGGGCAGCGGCCTAGGCTGAGGAGGGGCGGTCTGAGTACCGGATGCGTGTGCGAACAGGTGCACGCCATCCTGCCGCTGGCTCTTAAGGTGGCGCTGCGCCTGCGGGTGCGTACTAAAATCAATCGGTCTCCCCTCAGGGTCAAATCGAAGTACTCGAGTGGTCGCCATAAGGGGCGAAAAACGAGAGAGCGCGGCTACCAGCCGCAGGAGGGTGAGACAGTCAGTGGCACGTGGGCAGGCGCGCAGGCAAGGAGGCGAGGAGGCAGTGTAAGAGGCGCACAGGGGGGCAGTACGGCGCGCTGGCTGGTGGGCGGCGCGGCGACGCGGCGCGCTGGCGGACGGGCTGGCGTGGCGCGCTGGCGTGCGCGCTGGCGGGGCGCGCTGGCGTGCGCGCTGGCGTGGCGCGCTGGCGTGGCGCGCTGGCGTGCGCGCTGGCGTGGCGCGCTGGCGTGCGTGCAGGTGTGGCGCGCTGGCGTGCGCGCTGGCGTGGCGCGCTGGCGTGCGCGCTGGCGTGCGCGCTGGCGTGGCGCGCTGGCGTGCGCGCTGGCGTGGCGCGCTGGCGTGCGCGCTGGCGTGGCGCGCTGGCGTGCGCGCTGGCGTGCGCGCTGGCGTGGCGCGCTGGCGTGCGCGCTGGCGTGGCGCGCTGGCGGGCCTGCTGGCTAAGGCGCTAGCGGGCCAGCTGGCTAAGGCGCTGGCGGGCCTGCTGGAAAGGGGGGGGGGGAGGGGGGGAAGCCTAGAGCGCTGGCTAGGGCGTTGTCCAGGGCGGTAGCTAGGTCGTGGGCGAGGGCGCTGGCTAGGGACGGCATAGGACTAGGAACGGAGGTGACTAAGGCCTAGGAACAACGAACCTACTGCTGATACCATCTTAGTAACTGAGAACAGCGGAATGAATTGCATTGATTGAGTTGGGGTACAAGTACCTAACCCTATTTTTTAGCATTTCATAGTACATTTTTCATTGCCAAACCAAATAATATTGTCAAACATATCATTGTCTTTCTGTTCTCGCTGTCGCAATCCAGATGTGCCCTACTAAATATCAACTGGATGATACTGAGGAGTCCACTAAAAAATCATTGCTGTAGATTGTAACATATTTGACAAGCTTATTATTATCGGTCAAATCATTCGTGCTGTATGTTGCTAAGGATGTTCCAATGAATTTGTTTTGTTAATATTGAATGAAAGTAATTCACCCAAATCTGAGCATGGTAAAATTTTTTTTTTTCACTCCAAATGCTATCTGAGCATGTAAAGTGTTTGGTTCAAGGTATTTTGTAGGTGAGCATATGCTTGTTATTGAAAATATCATGTTTATGTGTAACAGGTGTAGAGTTTTTGTTGTAAAGCGATTCGCGAACCGCGCGAGTCTATCGGGAAGTGTTTTGGTCTTCCCGCCAAACCTGACTTGTGGACAACGGAGTCAACGGGTGAGTTCTAGGTTCGGAAATCCCGTGACCGAGGTTCGGCGAGAAGTCTGGAACCAATCAGGCTTGAGGCATGAACTTGGCAATCGGCTCTCGCCCTGACCAGCCTAGCGATATGGTAGGCAAAACTCTGGCGAAACACACCCCGTGGTCAGGCTTGGGTTCGTGACGAGCCTTGACAGGTTCGGGCATAAGTGGTATATTTCCTTAGTTTTTGCTGGGGTGACTTCTGCTCCTGCAGCGATATCATCGCCAGCAGTCGAGCCGCTCTCCCATCCTCGTCCTCCTCCTCACTCCCCCAGGTCCATTTTCTATGCCCTCTTGTGCAGTCTATTTGCCTGTGGTACAAGTCTAGCCATTTGATGCCACTTGTTTGCTCAGTATACAGCACACAACACGACTTCCTCGAAATATTGAGCTTCTGCTTCCTTGTTGTGACCATCTCACAGTCTCAGCTAGACTTTGAGAGCCTTACAAGTATCATTCTCTGAAACAGTGCGAGATTCGTTACCAGTAGCTATCAATCGCTTACGTACGTTCCTCGCCATGGACATCTGGATGGCCCAGCCGTCGGTTTGCAGCACCGCCTTCTCATGCAAGTCGTTGGCGAAATCAATCAGCGGAGGCCGAACCGAAGCGCAGGAGCACGATATTAAGTTGGAAGGTAAGCAACCGATCTTTTCATGAGAGGAAGCTTAGTCTCACTCGTCTTCTCAACCGCCCTTCTCTACCTAACATCGTCGAAAATAACGCGAGCCTTGGTCCTCGACCCCCCTTTTCTACCTCTCTCCTCCCTCTTTCCAGGAAACCCCTCTGTGTTTTCAGGTAGACGCGAGAGAGAGTTAGGTTAGCACGCAAGTGCCAACCGTTTCTCCTCCGCGTTTGTGCTGGCAGGTCTCGTCACGGCATCGTGGTACGCTCCGTCCGAGGCGTTGACCTCGTCAATGGGACCCACGCCAGTCAACGTTGACCTCGTCGCCTCGTCGGACCGCTCGGCTTCGTCCGTCGCTTCGTCGCTTTCCAGCTCCGGCGACTCTGCCGCTGCTGTCGCTAAATCCGCGAAACCGGTGCCGGCTGCAGTCCATGCACCGCCCGCTCCCCGCGCCGCTGCTACACCCATTGCCCCGCGCGCCTGCTCCCGGCCGCTTGTGCTGAGCGCGTACGACGGCGTGCTCGACCCGGACCTGTTCGAGGCGACCGGCGAGTTGGGGCGCGGCGGGTTCGGCACGGTGATGGCGATGCGGCGCGTGGAGAGCGACGAGGTGGTGGCGGTAAAGCGCGTGGCGCGCAAGCAGCTGGTGGCGGCGTCGAACGAGGCGATGCTCTCGGCGTCGCTGAGCGAGTGCCCGGGCGTGCTGGGCGTGCGCGAGGTGCATCTGGCCGAGCAGCACGCGTACATGCTCTCCGATGTGTGCCATGGCGGCGACCTCCGCGCCCTGCTGCAGCGACGCAAGGCTGCCGCAAGCAACAACACGGGGGACGCGGGGAGAGGCAAGGGGAGGCGGTGGTGGGGGAAGGCAAGCGGGGAAGGCGGGCGGGGAGGGGGGATGGCGGAGGCGGAGGCGCTGGAAGTGGTGAAACACGTGGGCGACGCCGTGGCGTTCTGCCACGAGCGAGGCGTGGTGCACTGCGACATCAAGCCTGATAACATCCTCTTCGCCTCGCCCACGCCCCTCTCCGCGCCCCTGCCTTTCTCCGCCGCCGCTGCTCCTGCTGCTCCTGCTGCGGCTGCGCGCGCCTCTCCTGCTGCCCTCAGCCTGTCTGCGCCCGTCTCCTCAGCGCGCACCTCCCCCCGCCTGGCCGCCGGGGCAGTGCGGCTGGCGGACTTTGGGGTGGCGCAGGTGGTGGCGGAGGGGCAGCGCGGGTGCAGCACTCCCGCAGGCACGCCTGGGTACATGGCGCCAGAGGTGGAGGCTCTCTGCCGCCCTCGCTGCCCGCCCGCCAAACACGCCAGAAAAGCAGCGGGGAGAGCAGAGGCAGGAAGCGCGGAGGCAGCGGGGTATGGGCGCGCAGCTGACGTGTGGTCGCTGGGGGTGACGCTGTACGAGATGATTGCGGGCGAGCGACCGTACTCAGGGGAGGCGCCTCAGCAGGGCGAGTGGCGGGCGCGTGTGGAGGGGGCTGCGTGGGAGGGCGTGTCTGAGGAGTGCCTTGCGCTGGTAAGTGGCATGCTGAGAGTGCGCGTGGAGGAGAGGCTCACCATGGCGCACGTGTGCAACCACCCCGCCATGATCCGCGCCTTCGGGGGCAGCGGCGGGAGCAGCGCGGGGAAGAGCAAGAGTGGGAGGTGGTGGTGAGCGTGATGGGTGGAGGAGAGGGAGACGAGGGTTATTGTTGAGGGGAGGGGGCAGCAGCAGGGGGAAATGCAGCTTGTGTGGCGTGGCGGTGGGGTGAGGCAAGGAGAGTGGGACGGAACGGAGGAGCACCACTTTTTGCACCCTGCCTGTCAGGGTGTTTGGGATGCTGGTTGGATTTGGTGGTTGGAAGGAGACGGGTGCACGCCGCCTTGCTGCATTGCTTCTTGTTTGCTTGTTTGTTCAAGGATTGAGCCTGGTGTGTGGCTGGAGGGGGGGATGATGCTTGCATAGGCTAGAGATAGTCCTAGATATGGTAATGATCTTATTGTGAAATGTTTATTTCTGAGATTGATGCAGTCTTTCTTCTTAAACTGGTACAAGATTAACTTCCACCACACCAAACTTAGGATACATATTCAACTTGGATGATGTTTTCCAAGATTCTGGTCACGATAGATACGGTATGTGCCTAACTAATTAAAATATGCACCTGTGTACCAGTATTAATAGCTCCACCAACTCAGGCCACCGCAACGATAACAGTACATAGGTATGTGTTCAATAGTACAACAACAACCAAAGCGCTTTGGTCTTATAATACACATCCGCATCTGGCCAGTCATTCCGCCTTTGCACCATTCCCCTCTGCTGTGACCAACACAAGCACGGCCTCATGAATAAATACCAGCAGGCACATGATCCGATCTCTCACACAAGCATTCCCGGGGAAACGAATAGAAGCTTCCTCTCACTGCAGCCTTCCCGCTGCTGTCATCTCCCCTGAGAGTCTGGTTGCGTAGCTTGTGAGCGCTCTTGGCATCGCCTTGCTGGATGGCTGTGAGGAGGCGGAGGATGGAGGAGCCAAACAGCTGCACTGTGTTTCCCACACCGTCGTATCTGGAGGGTGGGAATTGGAAGATGGGTATAGGACTGGATATTAGAATGACACGGATATAAGAGAGCTCTTCACATGGCCTTGCTGGATGGCAGCGAGGAGGCGCAGGATTGAGGAGCCAAACAGCTGCACCGTGCTAACCATGCCGTCGTGCCTGATGGTAAGGTGGATATATGGGGGTTGAGGAGGGCGATTGAATGGGCGGGGGTGTTTCCGATGAGGCAAACATGTGGTGCTCGCAGCCAGCCAATGGCCTTTCTGTTGAGCACCAGCATGTGACGCGCTTCCCTCAACTCACCCATCCCACCCATCCCAACTCCTCAACACCATTGCCCACCGTTCCAAACCGTGCCTTTTGTGCCCGGCAAGCAGGTGAGCCATGTTGCCGTTGTTGTTCAGCACCAGCATGTGCCCACAATCTCCCACCCCCCTCACTGCCCACCTGTCCCAAGCCGTCAGCACCCATACGAATTTGCACCTTCTGTGCCCCGAAAGCAGGTGGGCCATGTTGCCATTGTTGCTCAGCACCGACATATCTAACCACCTTCCTCAACACCATTCCCACCACTCTAAACCGCACCTTCTGTGCCCGGAGAGTAGGTGGGCCATGTTCCCATTGTTGTTCAGCACCGGCATCTCCCCTCGTCCGCTCATCGCATGGTCCACAGCTGCAAGTACACATCCTCTACCCCCCATCACCTCAACACCATTGCCTACCTTTCTGCACCCCACCTTCTATGCCCAGCAAGCATGTGAGCCATGTTGCCATTGTTGTTCAACACCAGCATCTTCCCTCGCCGGCACATCTCATAGTCCTCCGCTGCCAACAGCGTCTTCCTCCCCTCCCATCACCTCAACAACCATTGCTCCCACCTATCGTCCCAATCCCTCAACACCATAGCCACCAGCGAGCAGGTGAGCCATGGTGCCATTGTTGTTGAGCACCAGCATGTGCGTGGCCCCGCCGCGCACCCCCTCAACACTCAGTGCCCCCCACCTCCCCCATACCAAGCCTTACCTTCTCTGCCCCAAAAGCACGTGAGCCATGTTGCCATTGTTGTTCAGCACCAACATGTGCCCCCGCCGGCACATCTCATAGTCCACCGCTGCCAGCAGCGTCTTCCTCCCTTGCAGCCCCTCCAGTACCCCTCGCCCCACTACCTCATCTCCCCCACCTCTCCACTCTGCTGCTGCACCCTCTGCTGCCCCACCCTCTCCGCCTTCCCTTCGTGACCCATCCCTGTCAACCACCCCGCCCTCCTTCCCCCCAGGAGGAGCGAGGGAGCGAGCAAGGGAATATTTGTCAGTGGCGAAGGGGAAGGCCTGCAGCAGAGGACGCAGGGCGGAAGGTCCCCCGTGCAGCTCAACCGATGCGATGTAGAGACGCGTGGAGGGGGTGAAGCCTAGTGCCTTTAAGGCCACTGCCACCTGGGGAACAATGGGAACAAGGGGGGCCAGAAAAGGGAGATGGGGGAGAAAGGGCCGTGTGCAGCTCACCCGATGCGATGTAGAGACGCGTGGAGGGGGTGAAGCCTAACGCTTGTAGGGCCAGTGCCACCTGATGAACGAGGTGTGGCAGGGGAGGGAGAAGGAAGGAATAAGGGGGACGGAGAGGGGTATAGGGGGGAGTTTGAAGCTCCTGAAAGGATTTAGAAGCACGTGGAGGGGGGAAAGTTCAACGGCTGTAGGGCAACTGCCACCTGGGAGACGAGGAAAGGGAGGGTGGCGGGAAAAAAAGGGGTGGGGTGTGGTGGGATGGGGTGGGCGGTGGGGGCGTATTGTGGGGGGGTGTGAGGCATCTAAAAAGAGGCGGTTTGAGAGGGGAATATATGCATACAAGCGGGTGGGAAGGTAAATAGTAGGAGGAGCAGGGTGGGGGCGATAGGATTTTGACACTGCCTGGCCTGGATGGTCCATACACTTGCCTGCGAGGGAGTGGCAAGGCACTTTCCCTTGGCCCTCTGTTGCTTGGGGTTCAGGCGGGGCAGCTCGGGCCACGGAGTGACTTTTGAGTCGACTTGAAATTCTCCGGCCATCTCTTCCTGATCCCCTCAAACAAACAGCCTCCTCTCCCTCATCCTTTAAATCGACCAGAAACACACCTGCAAGGGAGTGACGAGGCACTTGCCCTTGGCCCTCTGCTGCTTGGGGTTCTGGTCGGGTAGTTCTGGCCACCGCTTTCTGATTCTCTCGAACAGTTTCCTCTCTTTTCTCCCTCCGCCATAGTCACACCCGGTGAATGCGAGCATGTCAGGCTCGTACCTGCAAGGCAGGGATGCGACGAGCGGATGGTGGGTAGTGCATGGGATGGGATGGGTGGGAGGGAGGGATGGGATGGGATGGGATGAGCATGGGGTGAATGCCAGCATGTCAGGCTCGTACCTGCCCTCGCATGGCACGTGGCGGTTGCATCGCAGGGGGGCCGAGCATGGTATGGCATGAGAAAAGAGGGTGGCACGTGGTATGGCATGAGAAAAGAGGGTGGCACGTGGTATGGAAAGAGAGAGGATAGTGCAAGGGATGCCATACAGATAGATGATTGCATGGAAAGGGAATCGTGGTGTATATGTGAATCAAGGAAGGTGGCACGGCATCTACAAACTACAGTGGTAACAAGCACTGGATTGCATGGTATCAATACAGTGGTAACATCAATAATTGTGATGTACGTGGATGGCAAGAATCACAAACCTTAGCATCCTTATCTCACCTCCATTCCCATCTCACCTTAAATGCAGCGCCACATACTTGACTGCCACCCCTCTCCCCTCCGCCTGCACCCCCACCTCCCTCTGATCTCTCTGCTCTTTCTTCTCTTGTGGCCCATGCCCTGCCCCTTCACCTCCGCAACTTGCCACAGCAGCAGCAGTACCAGCAGAAGCAGCAGAACCAGCAGCAGAGGCAGGAGAGGAAGCACTAGCAGGAGTAGCAGCAGGAGAGCCCGGGTTGATGGAAGCGGAGGCGGCAAGGGAGGAGGGGTGCGTGAGGGCGAGGGTGAGACGGGCCACGGCTTGAGTGACTGCTGGTACAAAGCGAAGTGCCTCGTAGTTGGCTTTACAGCGCAGCTGATGGTGAGGGGGGAGAGGGTGGGAGAAGGAGAAGGGAGGATAGCAAGGGCCCAAGGGGGGAGAGGAAAAGGGGGATGGCCTGAGTGACTGCTGGTACAAAGCGCAGCGCCTCGTACTTGGCTTTGCAGCGTAACTGGTTGGAGGGAGAAGGGGGGAAGAAGAGAGGGGGAAGGGATAAAGGGAAATAATGCCAGGGGGGAAGAGAAGAGCGATGGCTCGAGTGACTGTCGTTACGAAGCGCAGCGCCTCGTAGTTGGCTTTACAGCGCAGCTGATGGGGGACAAGGAGGGACGGCAGAGATGGGGAGGTAGAAGGGTAGGAGAAGGAGCACGGCATGCCATGGGGGAGGAGAAACAAGTATGCTCCCTTCCATGCCTGTGAGTGAGTGGTGGCTTGCGGGTTGTGCATGCCTGTGAGTGAGTGGTGGCTTGCGGGTTGTGCATGCCTGTGAGTGAGTGGTGGCTTGCGGGTTGTGCATGCCTGTGAGTGAGTGGTGGCTTGCGGGTTGTGCATGCCTGTGAGTGAGTGGTGGCTTGCGGGTTGTGCATGCCTGTGAGTGAGTGGTGGCTTGTGGGTTGTGCATGCCCGTGAGTGAGTGGTGGCTTGTGGGTTGTGCATGCCTGTGAGTGAGTGGTGGCTTGTGGGTTGTGCATGCCTGTGAGTGAGTGGTGGCTTGTGGGTTGTGCATGCCTGTGAGTGAGTGGTGGCTTGTGGGTTGTGCATGCCTGTGAGTGAGCCAGCGGTTACCTTCCATGCTCCTCTTACCTTCTGCAGGGGTGCAGGGAGGCTGTAATTTAGCTTGAACTTGAAGTGATTTAGCTTCAATACCTGCGCTCTCCTGTGGTGTGATGGTGGGGGGGGGAGAAGGTGGGGAGGGAAGGCGGGATGTCGGGTAAGGACGAGTAATGAAAAGTAAACTGGTGCAGGAAGGTTGTATTTGATCTTGAACTTGAAATGATTCAGCTTCAACTCCTGCGCGGGTGAGGGGTGACATTAGGCGACGTTGAGTGGGTGAGGGAGGAAGGGCAGGGCAAGGAGAGAAGGGAGGGGTGAGGCCGGGAGGCAAGGGTGGTAGTGGGGCATGGATGAGCCTATTCATCCAAATGCTTAAAAGAGTAAAAGAAGGAAATGGGATGCAGGGATATTTCAAGGCTATGAAAGGACACGGTGCGCACGACAGCGGGCAGGTCTGTGAGCGTGGCAGGCAGGCGTGGCACCACCACACGCACAGAAGAGGTTTAAGGCAACCTGACTGCCACTCACCCACCTGATAAGGGGGCGCACGTGCTGCCTGTAATAGTCCGGAGAAGAGGCTTTGGGCACTGTGCGCACGACAGGAGGCAGGCCTCTGAGCGTGGCAGGTAGGTGCGGCACCACGCGCACTGAGGGGGCGAGTGACCGGATGAAGTGAGGCGCGTCAAAGACATCGGAGAATGTGCTGATTGGGGGGGAAGAGGGGGGATGTGAGGGGGTGGAAAGGTGAGCTTTGAGTGCAGTGGGTAGCGTGGTGATGAAGTGAGGCGCGTCAAACACGTCAGAGAAGGTGCTGATAGGAGGGGGTGTTGGGGGGATGGAAGGGCGGGCAGATGAAATATGCGTGCTGAACCCGTGGGACCTCATATGCGTGCGGATGAAGTGAGGCGCGTCAAAGACGTCGGAGAATGTGCTGCTGGTGGAGGGCAGTTTGGTAGGGCGGGTGCATGAAAGATGAGGGGGGTGTAAAGGTGTTCGCGCTTTGCGTTGACTCACAACATGCCTGGGCATGGACGAGCGAGTGGATAAAGTGGGGCACAATCCAGACATTGGAGAATGTGCTGCTTGGAGAGGTGGGAGGGGATGGGGGGGGGGGGGGAAAGAGGGGATGGAAGGGTGTTCTTTGAGTGCACTCATAACACAGATGGAAGCAATAGAGTGTGGCGATGAAGGATGGGATGGATGATTGGAGAGGGATCGTCCCACGCTCCATCAGCCCACACTGCCTTCACCCTTTCTCATCTCCCATCTGCCCCTAAGAGTGCCTCACCTGCCGTCGGCCCACCAGGAGGAGTTGTCAAGCAGCCATCATGCCTTCTCTCCCCAGTGAATGATACACTGCCATCATTCCATCAACCCACAGTGCATGCTTTCTTTCCCCAATAAGTGCCTCACCTGCCGTCGGCCCACCAGGAGGAGTTGTCAAGCAGCGGCAGCACCAGGGTGGCCCCTAGCATCTTCGCCACCACCACTGCATCGCATATCTGCTTGGGGATGAGGGAAGGCGGAGGGACGAGGAGAAGTGAAGGGGAGGGGAGAGGGGGAGGATGGGTGGAGGGATACAATAGGGCGCCCCTAGCATCTTTGCCACCACCACCGTGTCACAGATCTGAATGGGGACCAAAGAAGGAGGGAGGAGGTGGGGGAAGAGAGGGGGGAGGACAGGGAGGTGGACGGGGAGGGGAGATGAACAATGGCCATTGGAAGCAGTAGGGGATAAGCAGAGAGGGCAGTGGGGGGAAGCAGAGAGGGCAGTGGGGGGAAGCAGAGAGGGCAGTGGGGGGAAGCAGAGAGGGCAGTGGGGGGAAGCAGAGAGGGCAGTGGGGGGAAGCAGAGAGGGCAGTGGGGGGAAGCAGAGAGGGCAGTGGGGGGAAGCAGAGAGGGCAGTGGGGGGAAGCAGAGAGGGCAGTGGGGGGAAGCAGAGAGGGCAGTGAGGGGAAGCAGAGAGGGCAGTGAGGGGGAGAAGAACAGTGGGGAGCCCTAGATCGACTCAGCATAGTGAGGCGGTCGCCTGAGTGGAGTAACTACGAGAGCATACATACCATGTCAGTCAGTGTGGTTCTGCTTTCAGCCCCCCTCCCATGAATTGAAAATGAAACATTCACCACTCCTTGCTTTTAGCAGCCGATTCAAACATCATTGCTTGGGTTTGTAACAGCCCGTGCATGCAGTCACCCCCCCCTGCACTCAAACCACCCGTCCATGCCCCACTTGCAGGTAACGCGCCCCTGCACCCACTCACCCCTGCACCCACTCACCCCTGCGCGCATCTGGTTGAGTCCCCCTCGGAGCTGCACCATAAGATACTCCCCTTCCCCCTTCCCCTGGCCCTCCGTGCCTGCTGGAGTTGCTGGATGTATGCAGGGGGAATCACAGTTGGACAGGACGGGGTGGGGAAGGGAGGGGTGGGGATGCGAGAGTGGATTGACGCAGCTCGGATGGACAGCTCGGATGGACAGCTCGGATGGACAGCTCGGATGGACAGCTCGGATGGACAGCTCGGATGGACAGCTCGGATGGACAGCTCGGATGGACAGCTCGGATGGACAGCTCGGATGGACAGCTCGGATGGACAGGCTGGGGAAGAGGGGACTCAAAGGGGTGTGATGTGAGGAGGATAGGATGGATGCACACACGCAGTGGTTGGGCTTAGAGGTGTGGTGTGTGATGTGCGAGAGTGGTCTTCACTCTCAGGGGTGTGATGTGCGAGAGTGGTCTTCACTCTCAGGGGTGTGATGTGCGAGAGTGGTCTTCACTCTCAGGGGTGTGATGTGCGAGAGTGGTCTTCACTCTCAGTAACCAAGGAGTGTGCTGTGCTGTGCTCGTGTTGTGACACGTGGGTCGACTCAATAGTCACCTCGCCAATCGTGTGCAGTCATCCACCCAGCACCCAGCACCCACGCACCACAGGGAACCCACCCGAGGCAGTGGGGCATGCGTCCCCGTCCCCCACACAACCCCTCCACCGCACTCCTCCCATCACCGGCCACCCTTGCTCCCCCACGCCCTCCGCCTGGCCGCCCCTTTTGCCCTGCCAGCGGGGGAGAGGCGCTCAACGGGGGCGAGTAGAGTAGGGGGAGCAGCGAAGAGTGCAGGAAGGAGGACGCACAGGGAAGCTGGGAGTGAGCGCGAAAAGGGAAAAGAAGAGGATGATCTGCGAAAGGAACGAAACATGACGTAGCAAGTAACAGACCCTTGGAATGGCAAGTGACACGCCATCCCTCTCAAGTCAAGTCGTCAAACAGAAAAATAGATATGCGCTCAGCTGTATGAAACAGAGCAAGTTCTCACAATCGCATGCCGTGTGTGTGTGGCGCTGCTGTTGCTGCCCTTGGTGCTACCGCTGCTGTCTCCCCTCCTGCTGCTGACACTCCTGAAACTCTGCATTGCTGCTCCGTGGATGGCAGTTGCCTGCAGAAAACCCGCCCGAATGTCGCCCGCCATGGCAGCACTTGTCAGGGCAGCGCTTGTGAGGGCAGCAGCCCCCCCTTGAATGTCTCCTGTGAGTGCAGCTCCTGCCAGGGAGGCACCTGCCAGCCCAAATGGCTGCAGGGCTTGCAATTGTTGATGCACAGGTGGGGAGGGATAAGGGGATGGGAGCACATGGTGCCAGTCACTGTAACTCTGCCTGAACAAAGAAAGGAGAGAAGGAAGGAACCGGTTCGGGTTTATGCATACACATGCGGTCTGCTGTCGGGGTTTATGCATGCATGTGTGCTCTGCTGGGGTTTATGCATGCATGTGTGGTCAGTTGGGGTTCATGCATGCATGTGTGCTCTGCAGTTGGGGTTTCTGCGTGCATGTGTGCTCTGCTGTGAGGGTTTATGCGTGCATGTGTGCTCTGCAGTTGGGGTTTATGCGTGCATGTGTGCTCTGCAGCTGGGGTTTAATGCATGTGGCTGAGCTCTGCAGAAGGGAGGTGGAAGGAGAGGGTGGGGGGCAATACTAGCACCAGGGTGGTGCGAGGTCGCAATGCTAGGCGCCTTATCTGCAGCAGCGGGTCACCCGGCAGTGCGAGGCGAGGTGGAGAAAGGCCACCGTGGCGTGAGAGGAGCATGAGTGAGGGGAGGAGCGATTCAGGCAATGCAAGGCGCATTACCTGCAGCAGCGCGTCACGCGCCGGAGTGAGGCGAGGTGGAGAAGTGAGTGTGCGGAGGGCAGCGATCCATCCATGCACTCAGACATCAATCACAACGCACCCCAGCACAGCACAGCGTCATACTACGACCATACCTCGAGGGTGCTGGAGAGGGGCCATACCAGTGCAGCAGGAGAGGTGCGAGGGAGGGGCAGCGCGCCCATGCGGCGGCGATGCGAGGCGAGGTGGAGAAGAGTGCAAGGAGGTGCGAAGGCGTACCCGCGAGGCGCCGTACCTGCAGCAGCGCGTCCATGCGGCGGTGCGAGGCGAGGTGCAGGAAGGCCACGCAGCCCGCCACAGCCACCGCCGCCAGCAGCGCCGCCGTCAGAGCGCCCTGCTGCCCGCACCGCCATGCTGCCGCGCGCATGGGGAAAGACAGGCAGGCAGAAGAATCATGGGATGGTGGGTGAAGGCGCATGGGGGAACCAGGCAGGCAGGCAGAGGGATTATGCGATGGTGAGTGGGGGCGCTTGGAGGAACCAGACAGGCAGGCAGAGGGATTATGGGATTGTGGGTGGGGGCGCATGCGGGAACCAGAGAGGCACGCAGATGGGATGGCGGGGAATGTGGGGTGGACGGGGTGAAATCAGGGTCGTGCGGGTGAAATGGGAGGCGTTTGGGCGGAATGAGGGGGGTTGTAAGAATGTGAAGGTTCTAGGGTTAGTCAGTTGGGACCTTAGCATCGTCTGTAATATCATAACAGCTTTCAGCAGGTTTATCCCGTCATGGCGAATTTATCATGGAATTCATTGCCATTCTGCACCACAGCGATCACCACACAGGTCACCACCAGAATCCAGCATGTACCACACCACTCGTCACCATAGCATGGCGGAAGCAACCAGCAGTACCGGCGGTAGCCGAAGGAGACGACGAAGCGCTCGCCGTCCCGCGTCGCCGCCTCGCCACCGTCGTCGCGATCGCAGGCATAGGCATTTGGCGGTGCGGCCTTAGAGGCGCCTCGTGCATAGTAGTAGCTGCTAGTCCTGGCGGCATTGACATCTGGCGCTGCGCTACGATGATGCCGTGAAAGGAGTGTACTGGAATCAACGGCGGAGCGCGTCGGCATCAACGGCTCTCCGCCTCGATCAAGAATGGTCCGCAGGGGTCGTTCTCTAATTCGAGAAGAGCGTTGGGCCTGGTCGTGACCGCTGATTTCTTTTGCAATGTCAAAGTTTGCCGTCTCGTTAATCCACGCAGGAGGACGGGGCGAATGGCTCGCGTGTTATTGGTGCTTGGAGGACTCGAGAAATGCGAGTTTTTTTCGATGCGGGGAAAGCTTGGCGATTGGAGTAAGCCATTTTTTCTATTCGAGTGGCTAAAATATAGACTAATTACGGTAGGAGACAACGTGGTCGTTTCCGCAGGATGACCTGCCAACAACGAGATCTCGTCATGACTTTCCGCAACAAACTTAGGGCGAGCTAGATTTGTACCACCGAAATTGCGAAGGGCCGAATGTATCCAGAGTTTTCATTTGCGAACATCATTTGAACTTTCATGGTGTTCGCAACAAAGAGACCGCAGATTCAGGCGGGTAAGCAAAAGGCTCGCGAACAATGGCGACTCTTTTTGTCGACAATAATGCAGCCAAACGCTTGGCCATGACAAAGGGATTCTATTGACGCCATTGTGGAACGCGTTCTTCGAATCGCGAAAATTGCTAAACTGGCTCGTTTTCCAAAACTCTATCGCTGGTAACCATTTCCGAGAGGCGGGTCAGCTTCAATACAGTAAACGAATTCGCGAAACCCGTGGAACGCGGAGAAGCGAAGCCCAAACAGCACACAAGCTTCCCACCCCAACCTTTGTCATGACCGCTAGTTCCTAAATGCCGCTTTACCGTACTCCATTGCACTTGACCATGATAGGAGATGAAGTTGTTCTGGGGACCCCCTGCCCGAGCTGGGATCTGACAACCACTTCTGATTCTTCTGGTACAGTGACCCGTGGCGAAGTTGGCGAGGCAGGCGAAAAGAAAGTGCTGGCACAAAAATAAGAGAATATGCTGATTAGTAACGTTGGCTTTATAGAATCATCCTTTCTTTCACCTGACTCTACGCATGAACGAGGTCGTTCTTTGTGAGTATCCACATGTTTCTCCTCCATTGCCTAGAACGCGTTCGGCGTGACGGACTCCTCCGTGGCCAACTCCCACCATTGAACAAAGCGGCCTGATTGGTTGTTTACGGCATAACGCGACGCGATCGAAAGCACCAGCCCATCGTTTTTCAGTTTCACAGCAAAACCATTCCGCGGCTGCCAGTCATCCCCTTTTACCCTCCTCCGTTTGACTCCGCTTCTTGCGGTTCTGCCACATATAATCTAGTACTAGTACTACTAACCCAGAATACTAACCCAGTAGGACTTGATGGAATTTGGCAAGCTCAGAACGCGTTCCCATCGCCCGCCTCGCTCAGCGCCGAGGCCGTCGCTCGTCGCAATTCGCAAGAACGCACACTCGCCGCTCCTTGCGGCGACGATGGCGACGCTGCTGACCGCAATCCCGCTTGTGCTTGAACTAGCAGTAGTCGTGGTAACACTAACCATTTCGCCTCTGGTCGGGTTGGACGCGCGTGTCAGGGAAGGCGAGTTGATCAATCGCGGATATCCATGGCAGGAGCCGAGCCATCATTCTCGCAAATCGGAGTTGCAATGCTGTTGAACTGAAAATCGACGGACTCTGGTCGCCAGGAAACTGGTAGCAGCAGGCCGTCACATTCGTTTACTAGTGATGTCGATCTAACGTGTTGTAGTCTAATCCACGCTCAGCTCCTTACTCCCTAACTTGCCGACACCACTACTACGGCGCCACGAGTACTATGTCTCATCCTCTTTCCCCTACCACATATGATTATATCCCCCGTGCTCTCTCTTCAAAAGCGGCTTTTGAAACCGTCCGCTATTCCACATATGCTAAGCATACCATCGTAGACTGCTCTGCAACCCTCTCTGCTCCGCAACCATCTCTACTCCTCAAAACCGCAAATCACCTGCGCGAGTATCGCCACCCATAACATCGCCCACCGTATTTTCTTTCCCTACGCGCGTGGCGGCCAGCTGCAAGGCACAATGCGGTGCGGCGCGAGGGTAAATGGCGTGATTACGCTGATTGCGCTGCTTCTCATCCTCGTCGTCGTTGCTGGTGCGCCTGTGCTCCCTGCTCCCGTTCTCACATACACCCCCATGCTCCTTGCTCCCATGCTCCCTTTCTCTCGTGCTCTCATGCTCATCTCTCACATGGCTCCTTTCTCTTACATGCTCCCCCATGCTCACATGCGCCCATGATCTCATTCTCCCATGCTCTCATGCTCTCTTGCTCCCGTTCTCCTATTCCCCCATGCTCTCATGCTCTCATGCTCTCATGCTCCCATAATTCTTGCCTACATGAACCGATGCTCGTACATGCTCCCATGATGTCACCCCCATGTGCTCCAGGATCCGATTCTTGCATGCACCCATGCGCATTCCCATGCTCCAATGCTACCATGCTCCCACTCTCCCAAACTCCCCCATACGCTTAACTAATACAGGAGCAGCCAGTGGCGCGGCACTCAACACCGTGGGCACGCGGGTGAGCATCAACGGCCGCTCATTCACCTTCGACTCGCTGCGCTGCGTCGACATTCCCCCTGCCAAGGCGGCCAAGAGGGTGCAGGTGGCGTGGACGCAGGCGGGCGCAGCTGCTGCGTGTAGCGAGATTCGGTTCTTCTCCAAGCCCGGGTGCAAGGGAACGGCCGTGGAGACTCTGATGCAGGGCAGATAGCGGTGAGCTTGCCGCGCCTGCACTTCACAGCCCTGCATCTCTGCCTCCCTGCTTCGCTGCCTTCCTGCTTCGCTGCCTATCCGTGGATTGCTGCTTCTGTTTTCTGCATCTCTGCACCGCAGTTTGCTGTCCTCGATATTGCTCCCTTGGAATTTCACCCATGCTTTGGGGCCGGTCTGGTGCTTGGGTGCGCGAAAAACAGGGCGAGGAATATGGCCAAACCACTGAAGTCCGTCCGATGCATCATTGGTGCGTCCACTGCTGCTCTCACTCTCGCTATGTATCCATTCCTCCATCTCGTGTCTTCTCGTCTCTTCTCCTCTCCTCTCCTCTCCTCTCCTCTCCTCTCCTCTCCTCTCCTCTCCTCTCCTCTCCTCTCCTCTCCTCTCCTGTCCTCTCCTCTCCACTCCTCTCTTCTCACCTTACAGTTCCTGACTTGCAACCAACCCTTGTATCCAACTCCATTTCTTTGCTTCTCTACCCCTTCACAACCCCCCCCTGCCGGTGATCCACAGGGCATCTGCCAACACCCGTTGACCCACCTGCTACATCCACACCCGTTGAACCACCTGCTACATCCACACCATCCCCAACAGACTGTAAGCATGTGCAAGTGCAAGAGCATTCACGTTGAGTAGTACTCATAAGAAATTAGGTGGTCCTTCTGGCGTTGAGCAAGCCTTACTAGTCCATTCATGGTACACTGCATTGCATCTACTGCATTGCCTGCTTTCCTGCTCCACTGCTCCCCTGCTCCCCTGCTCCCCTGCTTCCCTGCTTGTCTGATCCCCTGCTTGTCTGCTCCCCTGCTTGTCCGCTTCCCTGTTTGTCTGCTCCCCTGCTTGTCTGCTTCCCTGCTTGTCTGCTTCCCTGCTTGTCTGCTTCCCTGCTTGTCTGCTCCCCTGCTTGTCTGCTTCCCTGCTTGTCTGCTTCCCTGCTTGTCTGCTCCCCTGCTTGTCTGCTTCCCTGCTTGTCTGCTCCCCTGCTTGTCTGCTTCCCTGCTTGTCTGCTTCCCTGCTTGTCTGCTCCCCTGCTTGTCTGCTTCCCTGCTTGTCTGCTCCCCTGCTTGTCTGCTTCCCTGCTTGTCTGCTTCCCTGCTTGTCTGCTCCCCTGCTTGTCTGCTTCCCTGCTTGTCTGCTCCCCTGCTTGTCTGCTTCCCTGCTTGTCTGCTTCCCTGCTTGTCTGCTCCCCTGCTTGTCTGCTTCCCTCCTTGTCTGCTTCCCTGCTTGTCTGCTCCCCTGCTTGTCTGCTTCCCTGCTTGTCTGCTTCCCTGCTTGTCTGCTCCCCTGCTTGTCTGCTTCCCTGCTTGTCTGCTCCCCTGCTTGTCTGCTTCCCTGCTTGTCTGCTTCCCTGCTTGTCTGCTCCCCTGCTTGTCTGCTTCCCTGCTTGTCTGCTCCCCTGCTTGTCTGCTTCCCTGCTTGTCTGCTTCCCTGCTTGTCTGCTCCCCTGCTTGTCTGCTTCCCTGCTTGTCTGCTCCCCTGCTTGTCTGCTTCCCTGCTTGTCTGCTCCCCTGCTTGTCTGCTCCCCTGCTTGTCTGCTTCCCTGCTTGTCTGCTTCCCTGCTTGTCTGCTCCCCTGCTTGTCTGCTTCCCTGCTTGTCTGCTTCCCTGCTTGTCTGCTCCCCTGCTTGTCTGCTTCCCTGCTTGTCTGCTCCCCTGCTTGTCTGCTCCCCTGCTTGTCTGCTTCCCTGCTTGTCTGCTCCCCTGCTTGTCTGCTTCCCTGCTTGTCTGCTTCCCTGCTTGTCTGCTCCCCTGCTTGTCTGCTTCCCTGCTTGTCTGCTTCCCTGCTTGTCTGCTTCCCTGCTTGTCTGCTTCCCTGCTTGTCTGCTTCCCTGCTTGTCTGCTTCCCTGCTTGTCTGCTCCCCTGCTTGTCTGCTTCTCTGCTTGTCTGCTTCCCTGCTTGTCTGCTCCCCTGCTTGTCTGCTTCCCTGCTTGTCTGCTTCCCTGCTTGTCTGCTTCCCTGCTTGTCTGCTTCCCTGCTTGTCTGCTTCCCTCCTTCCCTGCTCCCCTCCTCCCCTGACTCCCTGCCTCCTCTCCTCTCTTCCACACCACTCCTCAGCTCTCTTCTCCCCAGCGTGCAGTGTGCCTCACTCCTCCCCTCCCTCTCCCCCCTCCCCCTCCCAACCCCTCACTCCCGGTGCTCCAGAGGGCATCTGCGGGCATGCAGTGTGCCTCATTTCCCCCTCCCTCTCCCCTCCCCCCCCCCATTCCCCCCACCCCTTTCCCCCCACCCCTCACTGCCGGTGCTCCAGAGGACATCTGCCAGGTGTGCCCCGGGGAATGCAGGTGCGACACAACCTCGCAAGGCAACGAGACTCCACCTGAATCCATGGATTCACTGGGTGGCTCATTGGATTTTATGGACGACGACCTCCCATTTGAACCCTTGCCAGCAGACGGTAAGCATGCGCAAGTGCAAGAGCCTGCTGCCTGCATATTGCATGCGAGACTCTGGATGGTCCTCCTTGTGTTTTGCAAGCCTTGGTAGTCCATGGTATATCACTGCAAAGCAGGGAGCGCCAGTGTACACTCTGATGCAGAGCAGTCAGCAATGAGGTGCCATCCCTGCTTCCCTGCTTTCCTGCTTCCCTGCTTCCCTGCATCATTGGTGCGTGCCGTGCTGGTCTCTCTCCCTTCTGCCTCCAGCACTCCTTTCGTCCCCCTGCTCTCTTCTCATCTTCTCATCTTCTCATCTTCTCATCTTCCCTTCTCTTTGCCATCTGCTACCCTCCTCTCCTCTGTGCTCCTCTGCTCAATTCCCATCTTCCCATCTCTCCTCTCTTCCACTCCACTCCTCAGCTCTCCTCTCCCCAGCGTGCTGTGTGCCTCACTCCTCCCTCCCTCTCCCCCCTCCCCCTCCCAACCCCTCACTGCCGCTGCGCCAGAGGACACCTGCCAGACGTGCCCCGCGGAATGCAGGTGTGGTGCAACCTCGGAACTCGACGACTCCCTTCTTGAGCCCATTGACACGCTGGATGATGACTCTCCATCTGCTGCACCCTCACCAACAGATCGTAACCATTTCGTCCCTCCTGCATACATTGTTTACTGCCCTTGTGTTGTGCAACCCTGCATAGTATAAACGCTCTCTGTGCTTTTGAGAAATTTCAAAAGTGACTCCCTATTGCATCTAGTCCTCTGCCTCTCACACAGCTTGGTGCAAGGTGGGCTCTCTTTTTGAGGCGCCTAAAGCAAGGAACTGTTCCCCCCCATCCCGCCCCCCCTCCCGTTCCCTCCCTCTGCCACCCCCACCAGCGGATGTGTTTGGCAGCAGCACTCGCAACCCCTGCAAGGCGGGCTGTATTCGTAAACCTGTTTCGTCTCGCCCCAACCACCAACCCCACCAGCGGATGTGTGTGGCAGCAGTACTCGTAATTGTGTGAGGTGGGTTGTATTCCATCCGCGCCTCTCAAGTGAAACTGTTTCCTCCCCCCACCACCCCCACCAACCCCACCAGCGGATGTTTGCGCCAACAGTACTCGCAATCCCTGCAAGTATGGCTCGTGCATCAGCGATGGCCTTGGCTCCTACTCCTGTGTCTGCCCGCCCAATCGCATCCCATCCAAAAGCAACGGATATCCCACCTGTGATTACGGTATGCTCTCTGCCCCTCTCTATTCACATGCTAGGCACGGTCTGATTTGGCTCTGAAAACTATTCTCACTATATATGAAATACAGTTAACAATCTGGTTTTGCTGTGTATTTACCAAAATGGTGCAGGAGAGCAAGTGAGAGTTAGATTCCTTCTCCAAACTGCCGAGTTTCCTTAACGCAAGAGTCTATGTGCTCTTTGCCATTTGCTTTGCGTCATTGTCACAAGCCTTGTCCGTGCACATGATATCCCCCTTGTCTGTGCGCACATGATATCCTCCTTGTCTGTGCGCACATTAGATCCTCCTTGTCTGTGCGCACATGATATCCCCCTTGTCTGTGCGCACATGATATCCCCCTTGTCGTTGGTCCGTATCCTCATTGTCAATAGCACAGGAGCTTCTTCTCCCACGCTCAACGTGCAAGGAGACAACTGGAGGTGCGAGGACGTCTATCCTCTTTATGGACTCACGCTAGAGGAGTTCACTGCACAGAACAATGTGAGGGCTTGTTCAAAAGTGCATCCCGATATATCCTGCGCCTACTATTTTTTTGGCAATCAGAGGTACTCGTGATCTTCCAAACCAACTGTTCATTCTTCCATGTTGATGTCCTGGCTGGCAGGGCTTGGACTGGTCTGCTGCCCTCACCCGGGGTCAAACGCTCAAAGTGACTGAGAGGAACGACTTGACCTCTTGCTCTGTCTTCTACTACATTCAGAAGGTAGCTCACCTCCCTTGCAAGAGCCTCCCCCCTGCTCTGTCTTCCACTAGGTTCGGAAGGTAACTACCTTGCAAGGGCGTCCCTCTTGCTCTCCCTTGTACTACATTCAACTGGTAACTCGCCTCCCTGTTAGGGAGCACCCTGTTACGTGATCTGTGCTAGCAGGTGTAGCTGCTGCCTCTGTATCTCGGTTGCTCTGTCATGGTGTTGTTGCTTATCCCCACGCAGGGCGGCACATGCGAGTCAGTGGCAGCCTCTCTCGGCATCTTTGGGCTGTCTTGCCGCACCCCTCCCACCTCTCTGCTCCTCCACTCCTCCCCCCAACCACCCAATGCAGGGCGACACATGCGAGTCACTGGCAGCCTCTCTCGCCATCTCCTCTCTCTCCCTGCAGGAGCTTAACCCCGGCTTCAACTGCTCCTCGCCCCTCCCCGCGTCCCGCTCTCTCTGCATTGAGCGGGAAGATGGGGCAGATGACGGAAGGGGGGAGTACTGCAATACAGATTACTCGGTCAGCGGCACAACCAGCTGCGCGCAGGTGGTGCAGGACTTTGAGTTCTACTCCTTGATTGAGCTCTACCGGCTCAACCCAGGGCTCGTGTGCTACATCTCACAAACTGCCAATCGGGAGGTGAGTTGGAGGAGACTGCAAGCAGCATTGCCGGTTTGTAAAGGAAGAATTCCTTCCTGTTTTGTTGCTGAGCATGCAGTGCCGCCGTCGCCCTCCGCATCTCTATGATAGCCTGGTACATACCTTACAATCCTTCCGTTTGACAACTATCATACCTGTGTGTTTGTCCATTTCAAGTGTTCTGAGTGACTCACGCTTCTTTCTGACATGTGTACATTACATCCGCAAATCGCAGGCTCGTTGGCCCAAGATATGTACCGAGGCCCTGTCGGTTGGTCTTTTTGGTCAATGCGACGAGGGAGTAAAGAAGAAGTTCAAAGCAGCGGCACCATGCAGTGGTATCATCAGCAGGTATTTTAAAGGAAACACGAAGCTGTATGAGAAGTACAACAACCCGTGTGCGGGGACTCTGGGTGGCAGCAGTGGTGAGCCCGTTGAGATCTGCCTGCCCTCGTGATTGAAGTTTGCAGCCAATGCCTGGCTTGGCTTGCATTTGCTTTTGACTCGACTCAAGTGTGGGGACTGTTGGGGGCAGCTACGGCGGGCCTGTTGAGATCTGTCTACCCCCGTAAGTGCAACAGCTCCTATGCAGGGACTGTTTGTGGTGGTGATGGTGGGATCGTCTCGTTGGGATTTATTTGCTTTCCGTAGTTGAAGTGTGCAGACAAATCGTGCCTTGCATATATTAGAAAGGCAAAGACGTGTTTCTGTGTTTCATGGGGAAGGCATGCATTGCCTGGTCTGTGTCTGCAATGGGTGTACTCTATATAACATGCATTAGGATGTACCGCATGTTAGTTATCGATATTGTAATTTAAGTTTGTCCACATAGTAGCGTTTGCTTCCATCAAAGCTAGAAAAAATACATACGGTAGTAGCCTCCTTTCCCCCTCCCCCCTCCCTCACATTCCCTTCGAAAGCTGATAGGAAGCTGAGCAAATAATAAAGGATGTAGTACATATATTGCTGAAAACAAAAACTCCTTGTCTAAACAAGCACTCTTAGGGCGCGTTCCCTCCCTCGATCGATCCTGCGCCGGATCGATCCTGCGCTCGGTTTGAAAAGGTTTAAAAGTCGAAAACAAGACAAATCAGGAGTTAGGTACGGTGAACGATCGATTTGCACGATCGATCGAGGGAGGGGACACGCCCTCACTCACTATCGAAGTAGTGCATCCTTGCAGAATGCTGCTGCGGACTTATAGCAAAAGGCAAGTGCATCGTCGCCTCGAGTCGAGAAGCCGTCATGCCAAATGTCGAAGCCTCCCACTCTCATCCCTAAAATCCACGTTGCGCATCATGCTGCGTGCCAGAAAACCGCGTCGCCCTGGCAAGGTGGGCGGGTTTTAGCCGCGAACGCCTTTTTTTTTTTTTTTTGGTAGTGTGTAGGATCAGCACCGCCAGTATTGCCCGCTGCGGGATCGAGCACCGTCATCTTGAACGCCACGTGGCCGACTCGGACGGGAAGATCTGTTCCGAAGATGCGGCTAGGCAATTCGGAGGTGACTCGTGATGGCAGCCTGAGTGCGAGCACGGCGCGGCCCGGGGGGCTAGTGATTCAATACGGCTAATCTGGGAGGGGGGAAGAGACGGGGATGTGTCGTGGCGTTATTTGCGATCAGTACACCACAGACACGCCAACATGCTGCCGTCGTTTGCCGGCGCGTGGGAGAGGATAACCAAAACAACCGAAATCGATGCTGCCGTGAGAGAGGGGCGCGTGCGAGAGATGATCGGTTGGGGCGAGAAACTCGGGCAGGTCGAACGCAGGCATCCGCGCCACTCGGGAAGGTCGAACGCAGGCATCCGCGCCACTCGGGAAGAAATCTTCCGACTATAGTGCCAACATACATAGCAGTAGCCGAGTCGGAGGCGGTTCGAGGCCGCGTGCGAGATAGGAAGCGATGCCGCGGCGGCCGTGCGTGAAGAGATGCGTGGTGCGGCGAGTGCGGTTAGTGCGGCGAGTGAGATATTCATCCCTTCCTGGGGCCCTTGGTGTCTCCCTGCTCGTCTCCTTAAACCCCTGCTGCTTCCAACTGCACGGTAATTCGTCTCCCTCCTCTTCTCTTCCCACCCAATTCGCTTCTGATTCTTGTCGCCTCGCCCCTCCCTCGCCTCCCTCGGTTGCTCGCGACGCGTTCAGCGCCCTCCAGCCGACAAAGCAACTGAAACCTCTTGCGTGTCCTCGCCTCGCCTTCCTCGATTGCGCGCCAGCTGCTAACCCGCCTCTGCCACTCGCCACTTGAAATTGCTCTTGTGTCCTCGCCCCGCTCGCCCCCCTCGCCCCGCTCGCCCCGCTCGCCCCGCTCGCCCCCCTCGCCCCGCTCGCCCCGCTCGCCCCGCTCGCCCCCCTCGCCCCGCTCGCCCCCCTCGCCCCGCTCGCCCCGCTCGCCCTGCTCGCCTGGTCCGCGCCCTCCCACTCGCAGCTGGCAGCTCGCTGCAGCCGCTGGGCACCTTCAGCCTTCAGGTACGATGATGATGCTTCCACTCGCAGCACTGCGAGTGCGAGCAGTGCTGTTCCCCTGACTGGCCTGACTGAGCGCGTTTCCTCGTTGACCGTCCTGCTGTCCCCCCTTGGTGCCATCCGCCGTTCCTCTGTGTGACTCTGTCCTCAGCTCTCGTCAGCTCTCGTCAGAACCTAGACTTGCCTGCCATCATAGGCTCTTGTTACCTTCACATGCTTTTTTGGCTGTTAAACTCCTAATCCTGTCTTTCGCTTCATTCACGCTACCCCGTTGCTTCTGGCGTCATCATAGCCCTGTGCCCTGTTTGCACCGCACATCTCTTTCTATCGTGTCGTGTCCATTCTGCATTCTTCCATCTCCTCTCCCTTCCCCTCCTCTCGCGTCCTGCTCCTTCCCTCTTGCTGCTTCCTCTGTCTCCTGCCCTCTCCCCCACTTCCCGCCCTCCCCCTCCCCTCCCGCCCTCCCCTCCACTCCATCCCGCCTTCCCCCCACTCCTGCCCGCTTCCCCCCCACTTCTTCCCCCCCACTCCCTCATGCCCTTTCCTCAATTCTCCCGCGCTCCCCCCCATTCCCTCCCGTTCATCCCCCCGACTCCGTCCCCACTACTCCCTTCCCCCCACTCCCTCCCGCACCCCCCCTCACTTTCTCCTGCTCTCCCATCTGCTGTGGTTGCTCTCTCCTCCATCCATGTCTGTCCGTTCCGCCTCCCTGCACGCCAGGAGATGGAGAAGACCTTCCATTCGTGTTCACACCACCACGACTGCTTATCCCCTGCCTTCTCCTTCCCCTGCTGCTTATCCCCTCTACGCCCTGCTGCTGCTGCTTCCCTCCTTCCCTGCTGCTACTGCTGTTTCCCTCTGTGCACTCCCTGCATGCAGAACCGCAACAACACCCCTCCGTCTCCAACTTCCCTTAGCCCATGGCTCGTGTGGTAAGGCTGGGTGTGTTGGCTCTGCGGGTTGCCCTTGTTCTTGCTGCTATCGCAGTCTGAAATGATCCGCAACACAACCCCACTAGCATCGCAAAGGATTGAACGGATAAACTGCAATAGTTGTTGAGGTGTCTGTTGTTTGCCTGGTGCTTACTACCATCACAATCCACCACCACATCAGGTATTTCCACTGCCATTGCAATTCTTGCGCGTGTGTGTCTTGCCAACGCCATGCATTCGCCTGTGCTCCCCGTGTGCCCTCTTGCATTGCAGCTGCCAGGTGTTCCCGGGGCAGTGCAAGCTGACCATCCTCTCATGCTGCCTGCGAGTGAATTCCGCACGTATCTGCACACCCTTGGTGTGAGCAACCAATCTTCTCTTAAACAACTGCATGCATGCTGAAAATTGCCTCTGCATTCCTCGTTTCGCGCTGCAACGAGCTGGTTTCAGCTTGTTGATAAGCTGTGCGGATCTGGCGTTGCACGGCCATTCTGCTGAGCATTCCACTCAGTCGCAAATCGCCTCAGCCCAGCTAAGTACAATCGTCAGCTCGCCTTTCCACACTATTGAGTGGAGTTGTCAGTTCAAACTGTTGCTCATGCCTATGCCCCACCATGCTTCACTCTTGTGTTGTGCACACTCTCAGGTGAATGGCACTGCTGGGTGGCATGATGCCACCCGCCTTGCTCAGCGCCCCGCATTCACCTCCTCCTACTCCCAACATGCCCACTCTCTCTCCACGCCCTTCCACCTCCTTTGCACGCTCGTAAGCTCCTGGGAAGATGATTTCTACTTGGAACCATTTGATTTAGGGACTGGTTTCTTTACGATTACTAGAAAGGGCGTTTGTTCTAACAGTAGTTATTTATAAAAAGAAACTAAATAAACGTGTTCTGTCTGCTTCCTCAATGCAGGTCTTTGTTGCGTACATTGCATTGAATGCGCTGGTGACACTACTATGGAGGATGGGAGTCTCGTATCCGCAAGTCAATTCCTGGGTTCACGAGCAGAAAGTTGCTGTGACGACCAAGCTGTGGGCATTGATATTCACATGGGTACGCTCGAGTGCACACAGCATTGCCTGCTGGGTTCTGCTGATGTATGCTGATGTGTCTCGTTTGGGTCCCTAGTCTATATGCACCTCCTCCCCTATTCTTCCAGCCTTCGTTTCTTCTTTCGCTGCTGTGTTTGTCATGACCCTCGCATCCGCTATCCCATGTTCGTTGATCACTCATCCTGGCTTTTCTTCCGCCCCGGTGCCTCCTTGTCATCGCTCCCCCGTCCACGCCACAGGCTCGTGAGATTGTGGACGAGGCAAGGTGAGAGTCTCATTATGTTGCTTTGTTGTTTTCGCCTTATAACATCATATAAGGCGTTTTTCTTTCATAGTTTTTTTTTTATTGCCTGATTACAATTCTGCTGCCATTTTTTAAAATTTCTTAAATTCTCCTGGGATTTTCAGCTGCTTAAACCATTCATGATCTGCGTTTGCTGATTTTCTAGCTTTCTTGCACTCTTCTGCTTTTTTTCGGCTTCTTGAGTTGGCGTGCACGTGACGGCTGTCTTGTGCATTTGACCATGGCAGATTCACACTGCGGAGCGTGTATGAAGCTGTTGGAATCACTCTGCGGGGGCTAGTGGGAGTGAGCGAGTTGGCCATGCAACTGAAGGAGTTAAGGGAGCAGCTGGCAGAAGCTAAGAAGGACTTGGCTGAACACAGGAACCTGATTACAGGGCAAGCGGAGGAGCTGGCAGCATCGAGGGGGCAGGTTGAAGCTGGCCTTGAGGAAGCATTGGTGTCGCTTGTGCGAGGCGAATGGGGAAGCACACGCATGTTGGATGTAAGTTGTACCTGCCGGGATGGGAATCTGCACGTGGTAGATTTAAGTTGCTTCTGGGGTGGGAATATCGTCATGTTGAATGTCAATGACCTTTTTTGATATGGCCAGATGCTCAGCACTTGCAGCTTCAATGCTGCAATTTGTGACATGTTACCATGTTACCTTGTTGAGTCGGGATATATTCCTTGCTTCTTTTGCCTTCACTGTGAATCTTCTCCAGGCCGTTTCTTCAGCCCTCACTGAAAAAAACGACAGGCGAACATCTCTTCAGTTGAAGAATCTCTCCAGCATCTCAGACACGGCCCTCCACGTTGTGTCTGCCATGACCCACCTGAAATCGATTGATTTGGACAAGTCCTCTGGCTTCAGTGCAGAGGGCGTGAAGCACCTCTACAGGCTGCCACAGAAGAAACGGCTCTCACTTATGAAAACGGCCGTTTTTGACAGTCATCTGGAGGGGATTGGGGCAGCGAGCAGCCTTGAGCGTCTCTATCTCAGCTGCACCAAAGTGACAGACTCTGGTCTGCAGCAGTTGACAGGGCTCGCGCTCAAGACTCTGGAGCTTAATGGCTGCCAGGGTGTTACAGCTGCTGGCATGGCGCATGTGGGGAAGCTGAGAGGCCTTGAGAGTCTGTTTCTGGGGAATTTAACCACGAAAGGTGATGGTTTGGAGCACTTGTCGTCCCTCACGAATCTGAAGCTGCTTGTGCTGCCATCTGGGGCTGCAGGTAAGGGCTTGGAGCATGTGAGGCACTTGACTGCTCTGCAGAAGTTGGATATGACGGGAAGCAGAGTGGCTGACGGTGGGGTGCCGTGGTTGAGCAATCTGCCTTCTCTGACGCACATTAGAACAGATTAAAGGAGCTTGCAGCCATGGGTGAATGCTGCTCTTCCTGGTGTGCTGGTGAGCAGTGACTTTCTGCCTGGTACTGGTCCTGTGGGGTGAGCTTTGAAGCCTAGTCATGCTCTTGAGGAAAGCTGCACCTCGCACGGTACCTTGTACGATATCAGTACTACACACTATGACCCTGTAATTCCCTAAATTTACCACCAATTCCCTGTGAAGTGAGAATAAAAAAAAAACTCAGATGGCCAGGGAGGGTGCAGTCTGATATTGACCAATAAAGACGACTTTTTGGTCAAGGCTTACAGTATCGTTTGCCCAACAAGATTGCAACGAAAGGTACGGTATTGGAAAACTGTACGCTTGTGCACCAGCTTGTCAGAATATTGAACGGGAATGGATTGCATTGAGAAGATGGGTACAAGTACTAACCCTAGATTGGGTTGTACCCCTTATGGGCTACCCCACTACAGCCTACACAACATAAGCATAAGAATGTTCTGACACAGCTTGCTCTACTGTACTGTATTAATCAGCACCAGCTTTCTAATCTTTCATAGAGAAGGGTAAAGCCTGCCTGTTGAGATGCCAAACAGGCTTCATTTCATCATACGGGGTAACGGAGATCAATCTAACCATTAGCTAAACAAAACAGATTAGCTAAACCTCATTACATAAGACAACCACGGAAACCTTGCCGGACTAACAAATGCTAGCCAGCCATACTTTACGAAGGCAGACAGACTTCAACGGGACCACCACTGCTGCCCCCAACAGTGCCAGCACACGGGCGGTTGTACTTCTCAAATAGCAGCGTGCTTCCTCCGAATGCCCTGCTGATAACACTGCTGCATGACGCTGATGCCTTGAACAGCCTTGGTCTTCCCTTGCTACAACCACCGTAATTATCATGCTGTGCGGCCTTTGTACATATCTCGGGCCAACGAGCCTGCAGATTGCGGATGATCGCATGTGAATGAGAAGCGCGATCGGACCAAAACACTTGAAAACAGGAAAGAAAAACATATTTGTAATGGATAAAAACTATGCATCACGATATGAAAGAGTTGCCGAGTGATGGCATTGCCTGCTCAACAACCAAAAAAGGACTGGTGTTAATGAAACTGGCAATGCATCATGATGCAGCCTCCTCCCACTCACCTCCCAACCGGCGTTCACTGAGCTGTAGCACACGAGCCCTGGGTTGAGCCGATAGAGCTCCAGCAAGAAAGCCAGACCGGCACCTACTGAGCTGAGCATCTGGCACTCACCTCCTGATTGGTAAATACTGAGCTGTAGCAAACGCACCTGCGGATTGGCATGCAGTGAGCTGTAGCACATGAGCCCTGGGTTGAGCCGGTAGAGCTCCAGCAAGGAACCCAGCTGACGGTCCCCCACCACCGCAGTGCAGCTGCTCGTGCCGCTGACCGAGTAAAGTGAATTGCAACGCTGCTCCCCCATCCCCACCTTGGCATCGTCCCGCTCAATGCAGAGCGAGCGGGATGGGGGGAGGGGCGAGGAGCAGTCGGAGCCGGGGTTGAGGAGCGACAGGGAGGAGGAGGAGAGGCCGAGAGAGGCTGCCACTGACTCGCATGTGTCGCCCTGCATGCTCATTTTAGCTGTTAACGAGTACCAGAAAACATCGCGGAAATCTCTTCCTATTCGAAATGACATGGTAATTTCGAAAGAATCTGCCGAAATCATATCCCTCCCTCTTTTTCGCTGTTGCCACGCTGGTAGATCGTTCACTAACAAGTGGCCAAAGAGATGCCACCTGGCAATTTCAAGGGGGTGAAAATGTGGTCGCCGAAACTCGCATACTCGCCTCTAACTATGATGTTAGACAGATTTTGGAAACTCCCAAGCTGTCCATTTATCACAATCCTTACACTAAAAAATGTCGTAACAATAGATCCGGGTGGTATGTAGCTTTTTCCGATGAGAAGACCTCTCCCCATTTTTTTGATAGTTATAGACCGTAGGGTGGTATGTCCGTGTGATTACGGTAAAAGAAAGTGCGTTACTTAGCGATAAAAGTGGTACTAAGAGTAAGAGTGTTACTTAGTCATATGAGTGGTACTAAGAGTAAGTGTGTTTTTTAGCCAAATGGGTGGTACTAAGAGTAAGTGTGTTACTTAGCGATATGAGTGGTACTAAAAATAAGTGCGTTAAGAAGCCATATGAGTGGTACTAAGAGTAAGTGTGTTACTTAGCGATATGAGTGGTACTAAGGGAAAATGAATTACTGAGCGATATGAGTGGTACTAAGAGTAAGCGCATTACTTAGCGATATGAATGGTACTAAGAGTAAGTGCGTAACTTAGCCATATGAGTGGTACTGAGAGTAAGTGTGTTAATTAGCCGTGTGAGTGGTTCTAAGTGCAAGTGCGTTACTTAGCGATATGAGTGGTACTAAAAATAGGTTCGTTACTTAGCCATATAAGTGGTACAAAGAGTACAGTCATACCCCGGATATAAGCGCCACCCTCGGATAAGCGCCTGGCGCTTTTAATTGGCGTGTGGCGCTTATATCCGCTGCTCGATTATAAGCGCATGTAAATTTTGAAATGTGTTCAAAACGCTGTAACGATTTTTACTTTAGCAGGCGGATGTGTTGCAGATTCGGTTCCCTTCACATTCGGACCCTGCACTGGATGCGGGTCCAGTCAGCAGGAGCTGTCAGGAGCTGGATGTGAGTCAGATTCACTCTCATCCCAGCGCGCGCAAGAATTTTTCACAGACGACCCCATGTAACTTCGACTCGATTGAAAAGGCAAGCACGAGATCTACAGTTTGGTGTTAAGAAACATAAAAAATGTATATGTCATTTTATAAACGCCGGCGCTTATAAATTTACTCGATTATAAGCCCACCCCCCTAAAAAAACCTGTTTTATTATTGCCCCCATGGAAATATATCCGGGGTATGACAGTAGGTGCATCACTTAGCGATATGAGTGGTACTAAAAGAAAGTGCGTTACTTAGCAATTTAAGTGGTACTAGAGCAAGTGCGTTGAATAGAGATATGAGTGGTACTATGAGTAAGTGCGTTGCTTAGCCATATGAGTGGTTGGTATTAAGAGTAAGTGCGTTACTTAGCCATATGAATGGTACTAAGAGTAAGTGCGTTACTTAGCCATATGAGTAGTACTAAGAGTAAGTGCGTTACTTAGCCATATGAGTGGTACTAAGAGTAAGTGCGTTACTTAGCCATGTGAGTGGTACTAAGAGTAAGTGCGTTACTTAGCCATATAAGTGGTACAAAGAGTAAGTGCGTCTCTTAGCGATATAAGTGGTACTTAAAGAAAATCCGTTACTTTGCGATATGAGTGGTACTGAGAGCAAGTGCGTTGAATAGAGATATGAGTGGTACTAAGAGTAAGTGCGTTACTTAGCGATATGAGTGGTTCTAAGAGTAAGTGCGTTATTGAGCGATATGGGTGGTACCAAGATTAAGTGCGTTAATTAGACATATCAGTGGTACTCATTGTAAGTGCATTTCTAAGCGATATGAGTGGTACTAAGAGTAAGTGTTTTCTTTAGCCATATGAGTTTTACTAAAAATAAGTGCATTACTTGGTTATATGATGGGTACTAAGATTAAGTGCGTTAGAGACCCATGGTCTTATTGCTAAGTAACGCACTTACTCTTAGTACCACTCATATTGCTATGTAACGCACTTACTCTTAGTAAGACTAATATCACTAAGTAACGCGCTGCCTCTTTGTACGACTCATATGCACTTGCTCTTGTTACCACTCATATCGCTGTTTAACGCACTTACTCTTAGTACCACTCATACGGCTAAGTAACGCACAGTTTTAGTACCATTTATATGGCCATTTAACACACATTCTCTTAGTACTGCACATATAGCAAAATAACACACTTACTCTTTGCTCCACTCATATGGCTAAGTCATGCACTTTCTCTTAGTACAACTCTTTTGCGGAGATAACTAGTTCAACTGGTGCTAGACTTTGGGCTAGGCACGGGGCTTGAGTGATCTTTGCATTCGTTCCTTAGTCGTTTCCTTGTGCACACACTGCTTGCTAGTTCACAAGGGAATTTGCAAGAGTTTCACTAGGAAAAGTTGACAACAATGGTACATTGAAGTTGCCAGACTACACTACATCAGAGCTAGCATGCAAGCAGGACGACTGCCAGCGCAGTACGCTCGACCGCGTTCCAGCACGGCTTGGTCGACCGCGCTCCAGCAGTGCAAGTGCAAAGTCGTGGCTTGCCAACGCTGCAGCAAGTCGGCTGCATAGCGTTGCACCCGCAAGACAGCAGCACATCTGCTTGCTTCGCAGGTGCTCGCAGATGATTGGCGGGCTATGTCTTGTCACCTGCACAGCGCACATACCAAATCGTCCTCGTGCTGGCGACTGCATCTGATCAACCACGTCGACCTCGGGATACCACCACCAAGGTCGGTCTCGCCTGTCAGAATCCCAGCCACTAACCACTGGGATAAAAGGGCTTGTTTGTGTAGCGGATGAGTGCGCCCATAACCCCCCAGGCCGCCATGCCTGTAACCCTTCCCTAGGATCAATCGGGGATCACAAGTGGACCTCTAACACCCCCCCGCACTGGGATGCCCGAGGTGCACACACCAGGATTCGAACCCGAGACCTTCGCTCTGATGCCATGTCAGAATCCTAGCCACTAACCACTGGGATAAAAGGGCTTGTTTGTGTAGCGGATGAGTGCGCCCATAACCCCCCAGGCCGCCATGCCTGTAACCCTTCCCTAGGATCAATCGGGGATCACCAGTGGACCTCTGACATCGCCAATACCACCTGAGCGACCGTCGCACATCTCCGCGGAACCTCGTCACCCAGGAAAACTGGTCCACAGGGCAACCACGTTGACCAGCTGCTCCTTCACGTGCCCGTCGACCACCCAAGTCGACGACCACCTCTAGTCGACCTTACCAGGTCGACCACACCCTTGGTCGACCAGCTTCATGTCGACGACACTCCTGGTCGACCAGCTCCGGGTCGACCAGCAC